CAGTTTCACATATGTGAGTGTATATCGTCCAATGAAACCGTAGTTGAATTAGAATTATAATTTAGTGGTGTTGTAATAAGACTACAATGTGTATAAAATGAAATTCAATAACAGGTCTCACTGTAATAAGACTAGTGTATTTATATTGTCAAATGAAACTGTAGTTGACACAAAATAAAATTTTAGTTATGCTGAAATGAAACTACGGTGTATATAAACTGAAACTGAACATGTTATACAAACAGAATTAATTTTACAGAACGGGTGCCGTTTCTTTTCATTAAAAGAAACAACACCGTTTTGGACCATGGTCCACACAGTAAAAGTTGTCATTTTAAACAAGGGTCACATTTGTGTGAGATCGTCTATCAGATCTTTATCCGTGTGATGAGTTGGGTCGTGTCAATATACAAATGTAATACTTATGCTAGCAAATGTAATACTAAATCAGGAATAAAATATTTGTTACTTATAGATGAAAAACATAATACTTTTCATGACAAATGTAATACTTTTATATTTTGATTTAAAAGGAGTAACAGACATTTTTAGTCCTAAATTTATAGTGGCTTGGACAATTTTAGTCCTTTATCAAAAAATTTGCCATTTTATGGACAGAGTTATTGTGGCGAGGACATTTTTGGTCCTCCGTCTATATTTATGTTAGATAACCGTCTGAGAGAGGGGTAATTACGTCAATTTAGGCTATCTCCTTCTATCTATTATATCTATGTGTGTTTTGTTTTCTTCTCGGTCATAATTCGAAGGAGTCGGAGAGTCCAAGTTGCAGTTGTACGAAGAAATTGCCGGAAAATCGAAGCCGCCAAACAGGTTACTAATCAAATAGATAGAAGGAGAATCGAAGCCGCCAAACACACATTGATATAATATATAGAAGGAGATAGCCTAAATTGACGTAATTGCCCACTCTCTCATACGGTTATCTAACAGAAATATAGACGGAGGATCAAAAATGTCCTCGAAATATAGATGGAGGACCAAAAATGTCCTCGCCACAATAACTCTGTCCATAAAATGACAAATTTTTTTTTATAAAGGACTAAAATTGTCCAAGCCACTATAAGTCTAGGACCAAAAATGTCTTTTACTCGATTTAAAAGTATTATTTTTTCATCAAAAGTATTATATTTTTCCTTATAAGTAATGTTGCACTTATAAATGAAAATGTAATACTTTTACATCAAAATGTAAAAGTATTATATTTTTTCTTCAAAAGTATTATATTTTTCTATATAAGTAAATAAATATTTTATTCATAATTTAGTATTTCATTTGCTAATATAAAGATTACATTTCATATTGACTCGATCCGGCTAACACAATTTGTTGCCTTTAAACAAATGAGTTATATATATGTATATGTGTGTGTGTGTGTGTGTGTGTGTGTATATATATATATATATATATATATATATATATATATATATATATATATATATATATATGTATTTATAATTAAGTTTCAGTGCAGGTGATTAATGTGCGTGAGTTTTGTACTTAAGGTGCGTGAGTCTTGTGCTTAAGGTGCGTGAGGTTTGTACTTAATGTGCGTGAGTTGTACTGAGTTTTGTGCTTAATGTGCGTGAGTTTTGTACTTAAGGTGCGTGAGTCTTGTGCTTAAGGTGCGTGAGTTTTGTGCTTAATGTGTGAGAGTGTGTACTTAATGTGAGTTATTGTTGAAACTTTAAGGTGCATGAGTTTTGTGTTTAATGTGCGTGAGTCTTGTGCTTAAGGTACGTGAGTCTTGTGCACAAGGTGCGTGAGTTTTGTGCTTAACGTGCGTGTGTTTGTGTTTAATGTAAGTAGTTGTTGAAACTTAAAATTAAAGGTGCTTGAGTTCTGTGCTTAAGGTGCGTGAGGCTTGTGCTTAACATGCGTGAGACTTGTGCTTAACATGCGTGAGGCGTATGCTTAACGTGCGTGGGGTTGTGTTCTTAAGGTGTTTTGTTTGTGTGCTTAATGTGCGTGTGTTTTGTACTTTAAGTGCGTCAGATTAATGTTTAACGTGCGTCCACCCGCACAACCGTACGAGATTTCCGTGTAGAATTAGGAATGAGCATGAAACTGAAATATGTGGGGTTTAAACCTCATCCTCGCTCCTGAAACCCCTTCTCATCCCTCACGCCTGTTTGTGGAATGAAATCCTTTCACATTCTGATTTCCGGGAGAATATATAGGGACGAGAATTTCCTAATTACGTAAAGTAAAAAAAAAAAAAAAAGAAAAAGAATTAACATTAAATTATTTTTTTGACACAAATAAATGGAAAAGAAAAACATAACTTTCCTTCCACAAATTATCTCCATCTTTTTAAGAGCATCTACACTAGTAGGGTTTTTTGTGGTTTTTGATGAGTTATGGTAAATGTGATTAGGAAAGAGATTAGAGGGGAGAGAAAAAAAAAAAACGAAACTTATTTTAAAATTAAAAAAAATAAATAAAAAAGTAACAGTCAGGCGCGCTAGACGCAATGCACGCGCCCGTGTGGCTTCAGCTGTGCATAAAACGTGCACAACTTTTCAAGCTTTCTCTGGCGAGCACTCTTCAATGGTGCGGGGTCTTTGCAGAAGAGCCTTAAATTTCTCTCTCTCCATTTCTCTTCCCTCCAACTCATCACAAATTGTACTATTCTACTTAAAAAAATCACTGATAATGTTGCTCTTATCTCCTTAAATTTCATTGCTATCATCGATACCAAATTAAGAGAATAAATCTAAAATAATAAAGTTGTGTTTGCATTGAAATATATATATATATATATATATATATATATATATATATATATATATATATATATATATATATATATATATATGTTCAAATGCGGATGGTGCGCGCATGTGCGGAGATATGAGAGCCATTGATCTTGCCTAAATCAATATCCAGGATTAACAATGATTAAAAAAATGCAGTAGAAATTTGGTCTTTTTGCATCTAGGTCAAATTTAAGGTGCATGATTTTCTTTCTTAAGATGTGTGGTTTTCCTTCTTAAGGTGCGTGTTTTTCGTGTTGTGTGCTTAAAGTGCGTTAGTCTAAAGCTTTAGGTGCGTGGTTTTCCTTCTTAAGGTGCGTGGATTTCCTTCTTAAGGTGCGTTGTTTGTGTGCTTAAGGTGCATTAGTTATTGAAACTTAAGGTGCGTCGGCCTAAAGCTTTAGGTAGTGCTGTCAATACGGGCTGGCGGGGCGGGGCGGGCTAAAGCTCGGCGGGCCGCGGGCCTAAACGGGGCGGGCTAAAAAAGCCTGCTCCTAAACGGTCCTGGGTTTGGCAGGCCCAGACCTCCCCGCGGGCTAGGCGCGCCCCCGCCCAAACCCCCTCTTTTTAAAAAAAATTGTTCAACAAACATCAAACTAATTAAAATAAATCGATACATAAGTCATAACTCACATAAAACATAATAATCAAACATTAAATATTACATAAAGTTCAAAGTTCATAGTTCATCAAACATCAAAGTAGTCAAAACTTCAAAGTCCAAAAGCATTACACATAACAATAATTTTAAAGTGCATATTTTATATAAAATAAAATAAAATAATGGCGGGCAGCCCGCGGGCCTAAGCGGGGCGGGCCAAAAAAGCTCGCTCTTAAACGGGGTCCTGTATTTTCGAAACCCGCCCCCTACCTAAGTAGGGGCGGGGCAGGGCGGCCCGGCAGGCTAAGCCCGTTTTGACGGCTCTAGCTTTAGGTGCATGGTTTTCCTTCTTAAGGTGCGTTGTTTTCCTTCTTAAAGTGCGTCGGTCTAAAGCTTTAGGTGCGTGGTGTTTCTTCTTAAGGTGCGCCATTTTTACAGTTTTTTTTTTTTTTCATTCAACAATACAATGAATTTTTTCAGTTTTGGTTCCAAGTTCAAAATGATCTAATCCAAAAGAAAAAAAAAATTAATTGCAATATAATAACAAATAGTGGAGTTGTTATCTTTTGGAGTAAACATGAAGAAGATGGATGCATTTGAGGGCGCGCGTTTTTTTTTTTTTTTTTTTTTTTTTTTTGAAATTTCATTGATTAAGCCGTTGATCTAGATTTGATCGACGGCTCAGATCTAACACCATTTTTCACTGAGAGCATCTCCGCACCAGAACTTATCCTATATATGTGTGTGTATGCGCACGCGAGCCTATTATGTTTGCATTACACTACGTGTGTTCATTGTGTTATAAATGACATGCACCGTCTATTAATATGGATAAAGGGTGCAAATTAGTTTTCAGGTTGGCTTTGTTTGGCGGAGCTTATTTAGGAGCTTATAACTTATTTTAAGCTACTAATAAGCTATAAGCTCTGCTTGGTAATGTTCTCAAAATAAGTTCCTAGCTTCCTAACTTTTTTTTTCATCTTTATCCTTATTATTTTAAAGAAATGACATAATTTACCCTTCCCAGTTAAAACCATTTTCACTTATTATTATTATTATTATTATTATTATGAGATTTGTAATAATATTGCTACTTCATTATGAGATGCTAGATCATGATTATACTAATGGTTTTATTTTAAAATGTTATTTTTTTTTAAAAGACAAAATGTTAAATTTTAATATGTAAACACACTAATTTAAATTTTATAAAGATGTCCTTTTAGTCTTTTTACATTTATCAGTTTATCAAAAAATTAATTTTACTAAACACTTTCAATTATAAGAGCTAGTTTAATGGCTCTTCAGTTTTCAACTCCTAGCTTATAGTTTTTCAGCTTTCAACCCCTAGCTTATAGCTTTTCAGCTAGGTTTGTCAAACAGAGCTTATATATTAATATAAGTTTGTCTGAGAAGAATTAAAATTTAAAAGTAATATATGATTTCTTAAAATGTGAAATTAAGGTATGATAAAAAGCACACTTACTTTTTATCTTCTTTTATTATCATTTTTTAATTTTTAATTTTTGAGTGGGAATGACACTGAATTTTTTGTGTGCGAACGGTACACGCTATTATTTGCGTGAAAAAGGGAAGTCTTGGCGAATGCGTATTCATTTTCACTTCTTTCATCGTCTTCATAACCCCCACCCTCCCCCAACTCCCCACCAAACGCCTCTTCTCATTTTCTTCTCTTCTCTTTTCCTCTCCTTTTAATGGCTGCTTCTTCTGGTACAGTGGACGCCTCAACCGTTTCTTCATCTTTCTCTTTCTCAACCGCCCCCTCTTCATTCATGTCCACCTCCTTCACTGACCTCCTCGCTTCCGACGACTATCCCTCCACCGCCGCCGGCGCCTCTGCGAGCAGAGGGCTCGCTGATCGGATAGCGGAGAGGACTGGGTCCGGTGTGCCCAAGTTTAAGTCTTTGCCTCCGCCGTCTCTGCCGCTCTCTCCGCCGTCCGTCTCGCCGTCCTCCTACTTCGCTTTTCCTCCTGGGTTGAGCCCCAGTGAGCTCCTCGATTCCCCTGTTCTCCTTTCCTCCTCCAACGTATGAGCCCTTTACTGGTTTCTTGAAAATTTAAGAGAAATCTCTGTTTTCTTCATTTTTGTTTGTTGGTTAGATAATTGGGATGGGTTTTCTGATTTTGTTGTTCCCCTTTTGTGCTCTCTGTGTGCAGATTTTGCCATCTCCAACAACTGGGACTTTTCCTGCTCTGAACTTCAACTGGAAGAATGATTCTAACACAACCCAGGAAGATGTTAAGCAAGAAGATAAAGGATACCCAGATTTCTCTTTCCAGACCAACTCTGTTTCAATGGTGGGTGCTTTGAAATTCATCTTGTATTTTCACTCCTGTTTGTTATAACTTTCTTAATTCTTGCACACAAAAGTGAAGTCCCTAGACCCAAGCGCCCCAGAATTGTAGAGGAATAATCACAGTGATATATATACATAGAGAGAGAGAGAGAGAGAGCTAGGCTAAATCTTTGACTTGGTTGATGCTAATTCAGTAGACTTTTGCAAGGAATAGATCTTAGCAAAAACAGTAACTCCATATGATCTTGTTGAGTTACAGTTCTTAGTGCTGTTCCTTGCTTAGATGTGTTTTGTGTTGATAAAATTGTTTTGTTAAGATAAAAGACTCAGCTTTGTTGCATCTTTGGGGTCAGCAGACATTGAATTATGAAGATTCAAAGAGGAAAGATGGGCTATCATCAGAAAAGACAGTTTCTGAATTCAATTCTCTGCAGCAGAGCCTTCCCCCTGTGACTACTTCCACTCAGATGAGCTCTCAAAACTACTCTGAGTATAATCAGTGCTGCCCGCCATCCCAGACGTTGAGGGAGCAGAGGCGATCTGACGATGGGTACAATTGGAGGAAATACGGGCAGAAACAGGTGAAGGGAAGCGAGAATCCCAGAAGTTATTACAAGTGTACTCACCCCAATTGCCCCACGAAGAAGAAGGTCGAGAGGGCTTTGGATGGGCAGATTACCGAGATTGTCTACAAAGGAGCTCACAATCACCCGAAGCCTCAGTCTACTAGGAGATCCTCGTCCTCTACAGCTTCCTCGGCTTCAACCTTAGCTGCCCAGTCTTATAATGCGCCCGCTAGTGAAGTCCCGGATCAGTCGTATTGGTCTAATGGTAATGGGCAGATGGATTCTGTTGCGACGCCAGAGAATTCTTCGATCTCCATCGGGGATGATGAATTCGAGCAGAGCTCTCAGAAGAGGGAGTCCGGGGGAGGAGACGAGTTCGATGAAGATGAACCAGATGCAAAGAGATGGTAACTTATAAGTTATATATTCATATCATACAATTATGGGAAATTGTTGATTACTCAATATTTTCGAGGGTGTTTCTAATGCTATTGAATTCGTTTTGCAGGAAAGTGGAAAACGAAAGCGAGGGAGTTTCTGCACCGGGGAGTAGGACGGTAAGAGAACCGAGAGTTGTAGTTCAAACGACGAGTGATATTGATATTCTCGACGATGGTTATAGATGGAGAAAGTATGGGCAGAAAGTTGTGAAGGGAAATCCCAATCCAAGGTTTGTACAACCTTAATTAATCTTGGTTTCCTAAATTGTCTATCTTTCTTAAATTTGCTGAAAGTTAACTCCCTGGCTGCCATTCTTTTCTATAGGAGCTATTACAAGTGCACGAGCCAAGGTTGTCCGGTGAGGAAACACGTGGAAAGAGCTTCACATGATATCCGGTCGGTGATAACAACCTATGAAGGAAAACACAACCATGATGTTCCTGCTGCCCGGGGGAGTGGCGGCCACGCCCTCAACCGGGGTGCCAATCCTAACAACAATGCGGCTATGGCCATGGCCATTAGGCCTTCGACAATGTCTCTCCAATCTAACTATCCCATCCCAATCCCGAGCACGAGGCCAATCCCGGGAGAAGGCCAAGCGCCTTACGAGATGTTGCAGGGACCGGGAAGTTTTGGGTACTCGGGATTTGGGAACCCGATGAATGGCTACGCGAACCAAATCCAGGACAATGCGTTCTCGAGGGCCAAGGAGGAGCCCAGAGATGACTTGTTCCTGGAGACATTACTAGCTTGATGATTGAAGCTCATCTGCTCATGAACTTTCCTTTTTGTTTACCTTCACCATTTTTATTGGTTTTTTTTTTTTTTTTTTTTTTTTTTTTTTTTTTTTTTTTTGGGTTTTGTGTCTGGGGTAATTGGCAGAAGGTTGATTCATTTGTTCATTTTGCTGTGTATGATTTTTGTATGTATAGTCACAGGAAAATCAGTTCTCTATAGTGCAAGAAGATGGGTATAGAAAATCCCTGATCTCAACTTCAGGTTAGGATTGTAAATCCTCAGTTGAAGAATGTACCATTAAGAAAACATGTTTTTTTTATTAATATATACTTTAATTTTTCTTCTGCATACAATTTGTGAGATTATAATTTTATATATAAAAGAGTGGGTTTAAATGAGAACAAGAGTTAGATTTCAGTTGTCTATTATGTTCTAAAATACGAGATTAATTTTATAATTATTATAAATTTTTAAATTTAAAAAATTAATTATACTATATCCCCGTTGATCTACCTAAATAAAAGATCAAATCAATTTTCACTTTTTTATCTAAAACACACACATTTATGGAGGCTTCTAAATTTACTGCATCAATTATACTCCCTGATGTGATATTTTCACCCGCATGGGCAGCTCAACTGATCATATAGAGGTGAAACTTTGGAAGAATAATTAGGGATCCAGGCAAAGGTCTAGTTTCATGGTTCATGTTGGGGAACCTTAAGGTTGTGATTCAACTTTTTGGAAGAATGAATATGACATTTTTATCATATATATATATATATATATATATATATATATATATATATATATATATATATAGGGAGAGAGAGAGAGAGAGACTATAATCATGAAATGTTATACTAGTGCATGACTTAACTAACAAGGTGCATGTTCTGGTCTGACATAAAAACTTCCAAAAGTCAAAATTTTCTTAGCTGTTTGAACCGACTAAAATATTCCTCCTACCCTTCCCATCTTACTTACCAGAAGGTTTAGATATTAACGTTATTAATTAAATCTTGATATAAAGTATTAATGTGTTTTAAAAAAAAAAAAATTGAATACTATTATAATTGAAATCACGCATCCAATTTTGGTTCGAAAATATAATAGAATTTTGAATTAAATGTTCACATGTCTTGCATCGAAATGATAAATAGACAAAATACCACAAACTCCATCGTTAATAGGAGAAGGTCGACTTATTGAGTTAGTAGTTATGTTTTGTTAATATTGGAGTAGAATATTATATAAGAAAAGTAAATTACGTTATAAAAATGTAATAAGACAAATTTATTCAAAAAATATTAATGAAAATTAAATTTATTATAAAAAATTATATCTTACTCACTCTTCTGTTCAGTTTGTTTAATCTTGTCGTTTTATAATTTTTCTTCTAAAAAAGTTGAATTCTTAAACTTAAGGGTCCATCACGTCTCAACCGACAAAATACTTGAAAAGATGTGAATGTCGACGTTTAAACTTTAATTTTCTTTTTTTAATATCACTGAATTAGTGAGTTAAATTCGTACGTGATATGTTTTATACCTAGAAAGATATAGAAAGATCGGGGTGCGTCACTGATGGCGTAAGCAACTTAATTAGCAAGGACGATTTTGAATGGGTCAAAGATTTGTGGCTCCAAGCTTGGGGCGCACGTTGGTCAAGGTCAATTGGGAATTTACTACAATGCCACTGGCCCCACCATTACGCGTTTCACAGTGTGAACACACACATCTTCTAGTAACATGGACCAATTGCCCGATTTCAACGTTGTGGGACCCACTCCTGTTAGGGAATCCCCGTCCGTCCGTCCGTCCATCCTTTTTTCCTTTTCACATTAGCTCCCGTCTAACGTTGTCGACTTGTCGTAAGGTGAAGCAGCATCTCCTCTACCTCACCCGTAGTAAACCACACCAATAAGGTAATTTTAAACGGACTTGATTATGAGGATAATGGCAAAAAAATGTTTGTGATAAGGGTCAAGTAAACAATTCAATTTTATGAGAAATGTAATTAAATTATCTAAATCTACAGAATTTTAAATAAATGGAATAAGGTTTAAATTGGTCACTACACGTAACCTGAAAATGGAATTAGGCCACTGAAAAAAAAAGTGCAATTAGGCCACTGAATACTCCAAAAACGTGCAATTAGACCATTGAATACTCCAAAAACATGCAACTTTACCGGATAGCAGGTTATCATCAATTTTAGCAGGTTACCTGTTTACGTGGCAACTGAGGTGGCATTTTTAATAATTTTTAAATAATTTTAATAAATTTTAATAATAGATTCAAAAAAAATTAATACAAAAAATAAACCCCGTCATTTAAAAAAAATTATATTTTTTAATAAAAAAATTACATTTTTTTTTAAAATTTATTAAAAAATATTTAAAAATTATTAAAAATGCCAACTCATCTGCCACGTAAGCAAGTAACTGTTGAAAAAAATAGCTTAAAATGACATAAAATGACATGTTAAGTGGCTATTTTGTGGCACAATTATCAGTGGGGTCCACTTCCGATTTGGGTCGGGTCAAAGTGGATTCGGGTACCTCGTAGTGAGACGAAGAGATTGATATATTGTACGCTCAAAACGGATAATGGGTGAATGAGATATTGATTCTCAAAGTAAACCCATTTGAGTTGGAAAATGAAGGGAAAAAGTGAGCTTTTGTCCCACATTGCTTTGGAATGAAGATTTTCCCCCCTTATATACAAGAGCTCTTTTGAAGCTTGTAGAATTGTATAGCATAGAGGCTCTCTCGCGCGGGGGAGAGGGGGGGGGGGGGGGGGGGGGGGTGTGCAAATCAAATTCTAACTAGCAGAGATTGAAAAAGGCTTGATTCAAGCCCGAGCTAGTGTGCGCCGGCACCTCTGCAGGCACGAATGTCGTCCGGAAACTACACCTTGGCATAGCCGAAACCAGTAGGTAGTTTCGGCCACACCTTGGTGAGTCAGGCGCACCTCTGCAGGCACGAATGTCGTCCGGAAACTACACCTTGGCATAGCCGAAACCAGTAGGTAGTTTCGGCCACACCTTGGTGAGTCTCGGCCCGTTTACACCTTGGTTTCGGCTAAAAAACTAGAAGTTTTGACCCCTGTGCAGTTTTGTGACCGTTGGCTGTTCAATTCTACTGTTACGAAATTAATTCTTTGAGTTAATTCCAATTTTTAATTTTGAATTTTGAATTGAAGGTCATGCTAACGGTGCTGTTACAGGAAGGTGGAGGGGTGCCCTTAAGTGCCTAATTAAAAGCTATTAAATCCTTCACCCCTATATAAAGAGGAGTTGGGCAGTAGAGTTTTACACACAGAAATATAGAACACGAAAGTTCAATTTTTTAGCCTCAAAACCTCTCTGCTTCTACTCCTTCTTTAGCCGACTGTGTTCATAACCGTGTCTTGCTCGCCGGGTTCCTTGTTTGAGTGCTCAAACATTGAATCACTAGCAAGTTTTATCCTGGGAAGCCTAGGCCACAACGCTCCTAGCATCTTTGGGAGGTGGCAAATAAGGTTTTAAGGAAAGAGTGCTCACTTGACTCTTGCAAAAACCCAACACCAAATACTAGCCAATTTTCTTCATCCTTTCTTCCCATCTTTCCAGAAAATAATAGTCATATTTTATTTGATTATTATTTGTTTTCTACCAACGGATTTCCTACAGTCTTAAAACCTTATTTCTTGTTTTCCCGTTGGTTGTTTTCTCGAATTTCCTTGAAGAAATGGAGAACCCGGAGTTGCCAATCGTTAACAATGGGGAAGAAAATGTTGTTGAGAACAACAGTGGAGGAAATGGCAACAATGTTGCTAATTCCCAAGCTACATCAGTGAACACTAGTTCACAAGATGGTGGGAGCACTGAGGGATATATTCCCATGTCTCGGGTACCTTCGGTACCGAGTGGTTCGGCTGAAAAGCCGGAGAAGTTCACCGGTGTTGGTTCGAACTTCAAGAGGTGGCAACAGAAAATGTTGTTCTACCTAGCAACTCTCGGCTTGGCAAGGTTCTTGTTCGAGAAGGTTCCCGAGTTGAAGGAACAAGATGCACAATCCGTGATGGCGGTTGGCTATTGGAAGGATTCGGACTTCCTTTGCCGAAACTACATCCTAAACAGACTGTGTGACACGCTATATGATGTATATCGAAAGATAATCACATCAAAAGCGTTGTGGGAAGCTTTGGATCATAAATACCGAAGTGAAGATGCCGGCTCAAAGAAATTTGTGGTTGGCAGATTCTTCGACTTCAAAATGGTTGATTCAAATACCGTGCTAAGTCAGGTAGAAGATTTGCAATTAATCTTCGATGAGATTCGCGATGAGGGCATGGTGCTAAGTGAAGCCTTCCAAGTGGGATCTGTGATCCATTTGTTGCCTCCAGGTTGGAAGGACTTCAAGAACTACCTTAAGCGTAAGCGAAAGGAGATGAATCTGGAGGACCTGATCCAGCGACTCAGGATTGAGGAAGGGAACAGGACGAATGATAGGAAAGTTCCTATCGTTGTTGGCGCTAAGGCTAACGTTGTGGAGCACGGTAAGAGCTCCAAGAGGAACAAGAAGGACAAGCGAAAGCTAGGTCCGAAAGGTGGCGTTACCAAGAACAAGTTTCCTGGTGAATGCTACAATTGTGGCAAGCATGGCCATAGAGCATCTGAATGCAAGGCTCCAAGGAAGAAGAACAAGAGTTCTGAAGCCAATGTTGTTGGAGATAGCAGTCAGAAGGAGGTCGAGATTAGTCTTTCGGCTATGGTAACCGAGGTGAACCTCGTGGGTTTAAACCCTCGTGAGTGGTTCATTGATACCGGTGCAACCAGGAACTTGTGTTGCAACCGAGAGATGTTCAACACCTTTGAGACCGTTGAGGGTGAAAAAGTGTGGATGGGAAACTCTGCTCAGTCTGCTGTGGAAGGCATGGGCAAGGTGGTTCTGAAGATGACTTCCGGGAAGGAACTGACGTTGAACAACGTGCTGTATGTTCCTGAGCTGAGGAAGAATCTTGTGTCTGGCTCTCTGTTGAACAAGCATGGCTTTCGCATGGTGTTCGAGTCAGACAAAGTAGTTTTGTCCAAGTTAGGGATGTTTGTTGGTAAAGGATATGTAACTGATGGGCTGTTTAAGCTCAGTGTAATTCCTGTTATCAATAAAAGCAAAGTTAATTCTGTTTACTTGCTTGAGTCTTCCAATTTATGGCATAGTAGACTAGATCATGTTAATTTTAATTCTATACGTAGATTAATTAGCATGGACCATATTCCTAACTTTAAAATTGACATAAATAACAAGTGTGAAATTTGTGTTGAGGCAAAACTAACGAAAGTACCTTTCAAATCGGTTGAAA